AATATAAGCCCACCACATATACTAACATATACTATAAGCCCAGTAGCCCACTACGTTATCCAACATTGACATTGTCTTTTAATATAGCAGAGAACGATATTTAAAAACATTGTCATTGTCTTGATAGTCGACAATGTGAATCAAAGCACGGTATTATTAAATAATACATGTTTATACTAATTTGTTTATGTCCGACTTGTTTATTACTAATACAAAAAATCGTCCATGTATTAGCCCATCAAAAATCGCTTACAAAAGTATATAAGCCCAGGGCTTATAGTCGGAAGTTTACGGTATATGTACATGTTCTCATTGTAAAGAATTAGATTGATACAAAACTCTGATGTTGTTAGTTGTACTTAATCTGGGAGAAAGATATGGCCTCGTCAAACTCAACAGGTTATGGGCCCAGGAGAGGTCTAGTCTTCGATGGAAACGAAGCAAAGTGTGAACTATGGGAAGTAAAGTTTTTATGAGGATTCGAAAACTTTACAATATTTTTGTGCCTAGCAGCGATGATGATGAGCTAGATGAGGCAAAAAATGCAGATGCCTTCACCAAACTGGTACAATGTTTAGATGACCGAAGCCTGTCTCTAATAATAAGGGAGGCAAAGGATGATGGTGGAAAAGCTATAAAACTTTCTACCGAATAATTCAGCGTGAAAAGCGGATGACACTCAGTGATTTTAAAACAGAACTACGAAGAGAGCTAGAAGAGTTGCAATAGTACATATAGCAAAGACAACGTAATGTACGCCGCTAAACCAAGGTTCGACGGGAAATGTTTCAAATGTGAAAAGAAAGGTCATAAAAGTTCCAAATGTTGGATGAAGAGCGAGAAATGGTGTACCAAATGTAGAAACAAGACCCACGACACATGGGATTGCAGAGCTGCAAAGAAGGATGCAACAAAGTCTATCACTGAACAACTGAAGAATCAAGACTTGGATGGACAGTCATTCACATTTACATTAATATTTGGTTTGACATGTTATGCTTTTATGCAAAATACCAAGAAAGTAGATGCGAAAAGTAACATTAGTTACACTGTTGATTATTGTTATAAAGTAGCCAACATTCCAGAGTGCTATAAGCAAGCTCTTGAATTGCAAGACGCAATGCAATGGCAAAAAGCAATGGAAATTGAAATGAAAGCATTGACAGATAACAACACTTTTGAATCAGTGCCGCGGCCTAAGGATAGGCAAGTAGTGGGGGCAAAGTGGGTTTACACGATAAAAACAAATTAAGAGGGAGAGGAAACCTACAAAGCTAGATTTGTGGCAAAAGGGTACTCACAAATTTCCAATATAGATTACCAAGAAACGATTGCACCTACTGCACGCATGAGTTCGATTCGAATGTTGTCATCAAATGGATGTGAAAACCGCATACCTTAACACGCCAATTGATTGCAAAATATATATAGAACAACCAGAAGGTTTTGAAAAGCAAGGCGATCATAGTGAGTCATTAGTTTGTAAGTTGAAAAAGTCACTTTACGGTCTAAAACAAAGTGGCAGAAATTGGAATAATTTACTTCACACATATTTAATAAACGAAAACTTCACTCAATCTCTTGCAGATCCATGTGTATATGTGCGTACAACTGAAGATGAGCGATGTGTGATCGTTATCGTCTGGGTCGATGATATCATAATCCCTGCAAGTGATTCAAATTCACTGCAAAGCATGAAAAAGTCTCTTAAAGACAGGTTCAAAATGACTGACTTAGGAGTACTAAAATGGTTTTTAGGCACTGAATTTCAATGTAGTGAAAGCAGTATTGAAATGAATTAAACCCGGTACATTGAAAAGATTCTTGCAAAATTCAAAATGACTGATTGCAAAGCAATGCCATGTGTGTTAGGATTAGACAAAGTTTTGGGAGACGAGTCACCTAAAATGGACGGCCCTAGGCTATATAGAGCCATAGTAGGGAGTCTAATCTACGTAATGACTGGCACAAGACCAGATCTATGTTATATCGTGACTAAATTATCACAAAAAATGTCAAAACCAACTCAAACAGATTTAAGTACGGCTAAACATGCTTTAAGGTATCTCCAGGCAAAGCTTATTTGAAAATTTCTTAATAATCAACATTTCTTTCTTGTCTTTACTCTTTCAACATACTGATATTTATAACAGACATTCACGAAAACATTCTATTTAAAATTTACTAAAAAATGGCTCACAAAATATATTTCATATAAAACCTCATCAGTTGTTTGCCATCTTTAAAATATAATATGTACTTGGTGTAATACTTATTAAATAGTCTACTGCTGCAGTACTTGGTGTATATATCATTCATTTGTCCTTTCTACCAAAATTCATCTCAGTCCTCCACTACAGCTCTGGAAAGCTGGAAGAAGTTCCATTCCTCTCTTGTATTTATTAATTTGCCTTCTGGCACTTGCCGTACGTCATTATACATTCCTGTTACGTTCATTCTAAACTCCTGTATCTTGTTGTCATGTTTCTCTTCAGTGTCTCCATCACACATTTCAACATAAAACCCTTGTTTTATCCAATATTCAGTGCAATGATGTACCAGTATGTAATATGAAAATGCTAAAGTCTATAACACCATTTATATCACATTTGTGTCGGTTTTCTTTGATCGTCCGAGGTTTATAATTAGATTAAACTTTTCGACAAAACGCGAGAATTTTTCATCAAAAATTTTTGAAAATGACAAAATATGTTAGAAAACCTCCACAAATGAGATATAAGTTAGTTATAAACCTCAAAAGTCGGTTTATAACTGATATATTGGCCTCGGATGCTACGCGTCCTCGGGGGCAATATATCAGTTATAAACCTCCTTCTCGGTTTATAACTCTAACTTAATATAAATTATAAACAGCAACCTTCTGTCAATATAACTATATCTGTTTATATGAAGAGTTTCCTAAAGTAAAACTTCTGTTAAAGTTTGTAAATATCAAACCATTACTTGAAATAATATGTGCTTTCCTCATTTTGCTGTTCAGATTGAACCTGTTGCAGGTTCACAAATTGGGAATATGTGCCATTATTTGGCATATGTTGTTGATATCCATGCTGCTGGTAAAACACATTCTGGTTATTTGGATGGGTGGGCTTTGATGCATAATTGCACCAGATAACATTTCAATTGAACAGCTAATACCTGTACTAAGATCAGTCATCGACTGACCAATAACTTTGACACTTTAGTAGTATACTAAGAAAAACTGATTTTTTTTAGTGGGGGTGTGGGAAATTTTTGCAATTTACTATAAGATTGTATTATGAGAAATGATGAGTCAGCAAAAAAAAGTGAAAAAATCGTGTCCACGGACGGGGGGTTGTTTTTATGGGCATTGGCTCCTGCTTTGAAAAGCGAAGTTGTGGCGCATTGGTGCAAGTGCGCATGCGTGATGGAGAGATGTGTGGCCGAAGCCCTGGTCGACCGAACTGATTCGATTTCGAATTTGGCGCCGGTAATATAAGAGAAGAGGGGGGCGGTGCTTGTAACATGTTTGAGGTTCCATTCATACTCCAGTCCCAGTCCGAAATCCAGAAATCACAGTGCAGTCGTTAGTATGTGTATCTTGATTGACAGATGACAAAAAAAGACCGCATTCATCAACCTGGACTCATGAAATTTTGGACTGGAGACTGGAGTGAGCCGAACTGATTCACTTGCGGGTGATGTGTTCCGGTTTTTCTAGTTTCCAGTTAATAATTAAACAACATAAATAAAAAAGTAATAAAAACAACAATTTTTAATAAAATTAATAAAAATAAACAATTATTAACAAATACTAACAAGTATTAACAAAAATCAACATGTAAAACTATATGTATATACAAATATTTAGCAAATTTTAATTGCTATCGCTATTTTTAATATCTTTTTCTATGAAAAATTCTAGTGCATTAAGACTATTTAGCACTTCACGCTGTTCTTTTATTTTATCTAAGGCTTGTCTTCTAAGATTGTCTATAAATTCATAGGAATTATAGTGCTTACTTGCACTACATTTTATATTGCTACCGTATTTTGTTAGTATTGTTCTTTTTTTTCTTTCAAGACCTACGCCGGTTAGCAAAATCAGTTCTCTGCTTTCAAATTTGCTTGTATACGCATCTTCTTCATCCGTACCATTAGCGGTTTTTAGAAGAGCGGTTTCGTGTGTGGGACGGCCAGGGTCGGGACCGCAATCATCAGCATCAGGGGTACGCTTACGTTTTCGGGTTTTAGGAATAGGTTTAAGGTTTTGAGGTTTTTCATAGGGCTTTAATTTGTTCCATATTTTTACCTTGGCATTGGTGTGGTGGTGGAGGTGGTGAACCGGACACAGATACAGTTTTACTAGCTAAAAGTGGTGATTCGGTACAAATGTCGTCAGTGTTTATAGTAACCAATTCATCTGTATTTATATGATCTTGTTGTGGTTGCTGGCATATTAGATTTTGTAGTAAATCATCACACTCACCTAGCACGTCAATTTCAACACGGGCTGCGGTAGGGTTTAGGCTATTTTCAACGTTGTCGACGGTAAGATTTTGCAGTGCTTGTTTTGCAGGCGAGTGTAACGTGTAGTTGGTAAAACAGGTCGGGTCTTTATTGTGAATTTTCTGTAGTTGTGAGGGTAGATGGTAGTGGTTGTCCAATAACGTCTTGAACCGATTTTCCCCAAGTCTTTTCCATTCTATAAAAGCACATTCTAAACTTTGTTCATATGTTAACGTTTTTTTAAATTGCGTGAAACTAACATACAAATCCGTGTAAATTTGTACATTTTCAGGCTCAAGTTTGACGCCACATAATTCTACAAAGTTAAAAAATTCTGTTCCACTCATATTGATGGTGAGAATGCGAATAAACTAAGATATAAAAATGATGCTGCAAACTAGTGCGCAAATACCCATATTAGGGTATTGTCGATTAGAAAATACTGTCTTATTTACCCAAATAAGGAAAATAGATGCTTGTTGTTGTTGTTGTTGTTAGGGTAACAAAATATTTTGATCAAAGGAAATTGAATTATCCATATAAGGATAATAACGACGTCGACAGTTCGTGTTGTTGTTCGGGTAGCAAAATATTTTTGTCCAAATATACATATAAGGATAATAACGATGATAGTCTGTTTTAGTAGGAAAGTTATGGCAAACGGGAAAAGTTGTCTAATTGGTGTAATGTTAATTTTTTTTAACATATATATTTTTTATGTTTTTATGCCCAACTGAAAAATGTGTAACAATATGTGCAAAAATTGTCGAAAGGGTGTTATTTGAAAGGTACTCTATAACAAGAACAGATTTATAGATATGGCTTTGTATGGTTGCTGGAAAGCGAAAATCGTGAAATATTAGATTTACTAGGGAAAAGACGACACACATTGCCCATCAATATATTTTTGAGAGATTGTATATATGCAAGAGTACATATATGCAAGATGTGTATCTGGATAGAAACCCCAGCCAGGGTTTTTTTGTTTTATGCACAGAACGTGAAGGGGATCGAAGAATAAACGTTGTATGTTATCCAAGAATAACAAGCGACAAAATAACTATGAAGTGACAGAACAATCTATTTTAGCCACATCTGTTTTATGTCAAAGTATTTATTGTTTTGTAGATGAATATTTAGAAATACAGCAATGGTTGGTGGCGTGACTTTACAGGAAAAAATACAACAAACATTGGAATCAACTGGACTTTTGTTTTCAAGACAATTTGCTAATGCATTGATAAACTTTACACTACAATACATAATGTTGTGTTTCATATTACCGAAAATAAATAACACACAGTGTAGAGAGTAACAGGAATTAAATGCTTTGATAAAACATTTATAAATAATATTGTTGAACAAATAGATTATAAATATGATGTTATGGTATGTCCCGATTTTGTAAATAGTATTACAACGTATTACGCGAGAATGATTGAGAATATGGATTTTATTGATAGACACAGCGTGAAATATTTTGTACCTGTAAACGTGTGGTAGATATTTTTTAAATAATAGATGCCTTACATATACAGCAATATTGTTGAATGGTGGTTTTTTCTTTTTCTTTGTCTAACTCGAGGATAATTTGACAAAGTAAACATTGACAGTTACACACACACACTTTAACCCATATAGTTCATTGTCACAGACACATGTGCAGACTATGTCGTTGTTAGATTTTGAATTATTTTGAATTTGTTCCGACATTTTTTTATATGAAGCATGGAGAAACTATTTCAAAAGCAACACAATCAATTGTCTTTATACGAACAAAGTATAATAGATAGAAATCATATTGATTGCGAGGCATATGGGTATAATAAAAAAAATTATTTACGCAAAGTGTCCATATGGTGTATATCCCAGAGTAAAGGTTACACATATCATATTTACACCCCAAATCCGAATGTTTTTTTATGAAAACGCCAAAAGTATCCGATATCAAATAGGAAAAATTCATGGGCTATCCGTTGTTCGGTATCGTAAAGCAGATACGTTTTTTATACGACGAAGTGATGTGTATTTTACGTGATTTGTTTCAAAGTGCTAAATTGGTGGGTTACAAAGGCGGTACAATAGAACGTGATTTACTAAAAGGTTTGTCGGTTAAAGGAATAAATCTTGAGGTATTAAGATGCCCGAAATATAAGACGTTATTATCCCAATATGGTGTTGCACAGCATGTGTGATTGCAGACATCATTTGAAAAAAAAACATGTATCATTGTTTGGGTCATGAAGTGGAACTGTTTAGTAGATATGTTGAGGAGTTAAGACAATATGACACAAACAATTAATTTAAATTTGGAGGCTTTTAAATGTTTGTTGAATAATTACGAATATCACCCAATACTTTGGAGGCTTTATTATACGTGTAGGCAATTGCGATGGTTAAAACCAGATAAGGATAAAGAAATTATAATACGGGATTATTTTAAAGTGAGTAATGTGTGGCTTGGTGGTAATATTGAGGAACGCGTACGTTGCTATAGTTCTATGCAAAAATAAATATGGTGAAAGGGACATTTTGCGAAGTGCCGAGGGAATGGGTAAAACGGCTGGCGATAAGAGAAATTGATGCCAAGGAGTATTTTGTGTTGATGCCCTTTGATTTTTGCTGCCGTCAGATTTTGTATAAAGACGGTGTGGCTGTAGTACAATGTCAAAGTTTGAAAATTGACACAAAATACGTTTGTGATAAAACATATTTTCATGTTGGGGCAGGAGCATGCAACAAGTCAACACATGAAGTGTATGTTGATGTTACGATTCATTGTGGATTAAAGCGGTTGGACAATGCTCTGGAGAATGGGATTTTTTCTTATAAGCGCGAAATGATTTATGCGCTTAGTACTTTTGAAGACCGTTTACAATATAGAACATATGTAATTGACAAATCGGAAAAGCAGGGTGTAGCGGGGTTATTGCCGTATAAACATAAAGTGAATTATTATAATGGAAAATTTTTAAAAAATATTTTACAGCATATATTAGTGTGTAAAAATTGTATTATATATTTAAATAGGTTTTTAGAATTATTAGAGGATAGTGTTGTTAGAAGTAATTTACATCAGTTTTATACTATTCCTACCTTAGAATACAGCTGTAATAGTAATGGTTTACCTTGTTTTAAGTATGTTTTGGATGCTGATTTTGACTTGTTAAGACGTAGTGCATATAATGCACCGCCTGCACCGCAAAGCTTTACCAATGTTGAGATCGAAATATGTAAAAATATAGTAGTAAAATTTATGGAAGAACATTTTTAAATGAATGGTTTTTTGCGTTGTGTATATTTTATATAATAAATACTTGTTTAAAGCTTGTATTGTGAATGTTATTTGAGTGTGTGTGCGTCCTAAATATAAAACGAGGTATTTTTATTTGTGGGGCAGTCCGCAGAATGTGCTCAGAGATGCAGTATCTGTTGTGGCGTACAGCAAAATTTAAATAAGTTGGGGTATATTAAAAAATTATGTCAAAATTATATTTTTTTATTTATACACGCGTAAAATTTAAATGCCCTTATATGGGCAAATATGTGTGAATTTTATTATAGTATTATACATATATGGGTAAACACAAGCTGATGTAATTTGAGTAATTTTGGACTTATTTGTATTTTGCTGGGTATATATATATATATATATATATATGTATATATATATATATGTATGTGTGTATGTGTGTATGTGTGTATGTGTGTATGTGTGTATGTGTGTATGTGTGTATGTGTGTATGTGTGTATGTGTGTATGTGTGTATGTGTGTATGTGTTTATGTGTGTATGTGTGTATGTGTGTATGTGTGTATGTGTGTATGTGTGTATGTGTGTATGTGTGTATGTGTGTATGTGTGTATGT